ACATACATACATACATACATACATACATACATACATACATACATACATACATACATACATACATACATACATACATACATACATACATACATACATACATACATACATACATACATACATACATACATACATACATACATACATACATACATACATACATACATACATACATACATACATACATACATACATACATATATATATATATATATATATACAGTGTTGCCTCACTTATCGCGGTAGTTCGGTTCCGGGACCAGCCGCGAGCCAGGAAATCCGCGAAGTAGGATCCGCCTATATGTACATAGATATTTTAATATATTTTTACGTTTACACTGTATAAACCCTCCCTGCACTGTTAAAAAAACACCCTTTACATTATAAATAACAGCAAGCAACGTAAATTTTTATGAAAGTGATAGATAAAATTACAGTGAATGAGGTGATAATGACGTGACACACATATCATTTACAATTATTTTTTCGTTTACGTACTGTATAAACCCTCCCTGCACTGTTAAAAAAACACCCTTTACATTATAGATAACAGCAAGCAACGTAAATTTTTATGAAAGTGATAGGAAAACTTACCGTGAATGTGATGATGACGTGACATACATACTCATTTACAATTATTTTTTCTTTTACGTACTGTATAAACCCTCCCTACACTGTTGAAAAAACAACATTTACGTTATAAATAACAGCAAGCAACGTAAATTTTTATGAAAGTGATAGATAAATTTACGGTGAATGAGGTGATAATGACGTGACATACATACTCATTTACAATTATTTTTTCGTTTACGTACTGTATAAACCCTCCCTGCACTGTTAAAAAAACACCCTTTACATTATAAATAACAGCAAGCAACGTAAATTTTTATGAAAGTGATAGATAAAATTACGGTGAATGAGGTGATAATGACGTGACATACATACTCATTTACAATTATTTTTTCGTTTACGTACTGTATAAACCCTCCCTGCACTGTTAAAAAAACACCCTTTACATTATAAATAACAGCAAGCAACGTAAATTTTTATGAAAGTGATAGATAAAATTATGATGAATGAGGTGATAATGACGTGACATACATACTCATTTACAATTATTTTTTCGTTTACGTACTGTATAAACCCTCCCTGCACTGTTAAAGAAATACCCTTTACATTATAAATAACAGCAGCAATGTAAATTTTTACGAGTGATAGATAATATTACGGTGAATGAGGTGATAATGACGTGACATACATACTCATTTACAATTATTTTTTCGTTTACGTACTGTATAAACCCTCCCTGCACTGTTAAAGAAACACCCTTTACATTATAAATAACAGCAAGCAACGTAAATTTTTATGAAAGTGATAGATAAAATTACGGTGAATGAGGCGATAATGACGCGACATACATACTCATTTATAATTATTTCTTTGTTTACATACTGTATAAACCCTCCCTGCACTGTTGAAAAAACACCCTTTACATTATAAATAACAGCAAGCAACGTAAATTTTTATGAAAGTGATAGATAAAATTACGGCGAATGAGGTGATAATGACGTGACATACATACTCAACTACAATTATTTTTTCGTTTACGTACTGTATAAACCCTCCCTGCTCTGTTAAAAAAACACCCTTTACATTATAAATAACAGCAAGCAACGTAAATTTTTATGAAAGTGATAGATAAAATTACCATGAATGAGGTGATGATGACGTGACACATACTCATTTACAATTATTTTTTCGTTTACGAACTGTATAAACCCTCCCTGCACTGTTAAAAAAACACCCTTTACATTATAAATAACAGCACGCAACGTAAATTTAAAAAAAAAATGAAACTACTGAAATTTTTTTTTTTTCAATATTTTAATATTTTTGCGTATACCCATAATATGAAATTATAATTTATCCAAAAAAAAACCGCGATAGAGTGAGAACGCGAACCAAGAAGCGCGAATAACTGGGGTAACACTGTATATATACACCTTGTTCCTTTTATAAGCAAATTCTTTATACACGAAATTGCAGTGATGCCCCCTAATAATAATACTAAAAATATTCTAATTTCGCGAATAGTGCCTGAAAAAAAAAAAAATAAATAAATAAATAAATATATATATATATATATATATATATATATATATATATATATATATATATATATATATATATATATATATATATATATATATATATATATATATATATATATATATATATATATCCACATAGTACATATATGATATACTATAATATAAGATCATCTTCCACAAGTACAAAGAGGATTACGATAAGAAATAGATCATCATCATCATATATATATATATATATATATATATATATATATATATATATATATATATATATATATATATATATATATATATATATATATATATATATATATATTTATACTTCTTCCACAAGTACAAAGAGGATTACGATAAGAAAAGATCATCATCATTATATATATATATATATATATATATATATTATATATATAATATATTATATATATATATATATATATATATATATATATATATATATATATATATATATATATATATATATATATATATATATATATATATATATATATATATATATATATATATATATATATATATATATATATATATATATATATATATATATATATATATATTTATTGGCATTTATTATCCTACTAGGAATCCTGTTCCATGCATCAGCAACTCTACGGTATTACCAAGCCAATTTTCACCAATTTTCCTTCTGAGCCTAAATTTATCAAGCTTAAAACCATTACCCATTATGAGTTCTGGTTTGATCATGAATTTTTTAAACTTTATTAATAACACCCTTGTTCATCTCTTTAAACCATTTATACACCTCAATCATATCCCCCATAACTCTGCGCCTCTCTAGAGAATGTAGATAAAGTTTTTTTAATCTGTCATATGGTAGATTTAGGCATTGCATAATTATTATTTTTTTCGTTTTTTAATCTTGCTTTGGTTATTTATAATCTTTATATTATCTTTATTTACATTTGCAGATAGAGGTTTGTTCTCCTGAATCATCCTCCTCTTCTACCGCAAATGTTACTTGCTCACCGCCACCATGCATGTCCCAGTGTACTGTATGACTGTTGCCCACTGCATAATAGAGTACAGTACAGTAATGTATGTTAATTTCTAGCTGTAAAGCGAATATGAATATCTTTTGCATAGTCTTAAAAATAGATATAGGGCTTTCTGCATTGCTATGTAGTACTAAAACGTTTTTTTACTTATCTTATATCTTTGGCATGGTGTTGTGTCTATATAAGATTTGGAACATATCTATGCCCTTTATCATTGTTTCCTATGGTAAATGACTCGTTTTTTCACGTGATTCTCCATTTACCCGAAACTTCTGAGAACCTATGTAGGCGTTATTCTGAGAACTAGGTATATATATATATATATATATATATATATATATATATATATATATATATATATATATATATATATATATATATATATATATATATATATATATATATATATATATATATATATATATATATATATATATATATATATATATATATATGAATCATTTTTTTTTACCCCGACCAGGACTCGAACCTAGGACTTATAATTACTAAGTCAAGGCGCTACCAACTACACACCACAGAAGGTATAAAAGGAATCCAACCTTATAGCTTATATCTGCTATACTTAGGGATGAACACATTCTATCTGAATGCCACTATGTTCATATTACAGATTCCCCAACCTCACTCGTGGTTTCATTTTACATTTAATTCAATTCCCAATCTCATTCGGGTCATACAATAACCAAGCAAGCACATTACATATGTGAAAACATGAATCATTTTTCTACCCCGACCGGGACTCAAACCTAGGACTTATAATTACTAAGTCAAGGCGCTACCATCTACACACCACAGAAGGTATAAAAGGAATCCAACCTTATAGCTTATAGCTGCTATACTTAGGGATGAACGCATTCTACCTGAATGCCACTATGTTCATATTACAGATTCCCCAACCTCACTCGTGGCTTCATTTTAGCATTTATTTCAATTCCCAATCTCATTCGGGTCATACAATAACCAAGCAAGCACATTACATATGTGAAAACATGAATCATTTTTTTACCCCAACCGGAACTCGAACCTAGGACTTATAATTACAAAATTCAAGGCGTTACCAACTACATACCACAGAAGGCATAAAAGAATCCAACCTTATAGCTTATATCTGCTATACTTAGGGATGAACGAATTCTATCTGAATGCCACTATGTTCATATTACAGATTCCCCAACCTCAATCGTGGCTTCATTTTAGCATTTAATTCAATTCCCAATCTCATTCGGGTCATACAATAACCAAGCAAGCACATTACATATGCGAAATCATGAGTCATTTGTTTACCCCGACCGGGATTCGAAACTAAGACTTATAATTACTAAGTCAAGGCGCTACCAACTACACACCACAGAAAGTATAAAAGGAATCCAACCTTACAGCTTATATCTGCTATACTTAGGGATGAACGCATTCTATCTGAATACCACTATGTTCATATTACAGATTCCCGAACCTCACTCGTGGCTTCATTTTAGCATTTAATTCAATTCCCAATCTCATTCGGGTCGTACAATATCCAAGCAAGCACATTACATATGTGAAAACATGAATAATTATTTTACCCCGACCGGGACTCGAACCTACAACTTATAATTACTAAGTCAAGGCGCTACCAACTACACACCACAGAAGGTATAAAAGGAATCCAACCTTATAGCTTATATCTGCTATACTGAGGGATGAAAGCATTCTATCTGAATGCCACTATGTTCATATTACAGATTCCCCAACCTCACTCGTGGCTTCATTTTAGCATTTAATTCAATTCCCAATCTCATTCGGGTCATACAATAACCAAGCAAGCACATTACATATTTGAAAACATGAATCATTTTTTTACCCTGACTGGGACTCGAACCTAGGACATAGAATTACTAAGTCAAGGCGCTACCAACTACGCACCAAACAAGGTATAAAAGGAATCCAACCTTATAGCTTATATCTGCTATACTTAGGGATGAACGCATTCTATCTGAATGCCACTATGTTCATATTACAGATTCCTGAACCTCACTCGTGGCTTCATTTTAGCATTTAATTCAATTACCAATCTCATTCGGGTCATACAATAACCAAGCAAGCACATTACATATGTGAAAACATGAATCATTTTTTTACCCCGACCGGGACTCGAACCTACGACTTATAATTACTAAGTCAAGGCGCTACCAACTACACACCACAGAAGGTATAAAAGGAATCCAACCTTATAGCTTATATCTGCTATACTGAGGGATGAAAGCATTCTATCTGAATGCCACTATGTTCATATTACAGATTCCCCAACCTCACTCGTGGCTTCATTTTAGCATTTAATTCAATTCCCAATCTCATTCGGGTCACACAATAACCAAGCAAGCACATTACATATTTGAAAACATGAATCATTTTTTTACCCTGACTGGGACTCGAACCTAAGACATAGAATTACTAAGTCAAGGCGCTACCAACTACGCACCAAACAAGGTATAAAAGGAATCCAACCTTATAGCTTATATCTGCTATACTTAGGGATGAGCGCATTCTATCTGAATGCCACTATGTTCATATTACAGATTCCTGAACCTCACTCGTGGCTTCATTTTAGCATTTAATTCAATTACCAATCTCATTCGGGTCATACAATAACCAAGCAAGCACATTACATATGTGAAAACATGAATCATTTTTTTTCCCCGACCGGGACTCGAACCTAGGACATATAATTACTAAGTCAAGGCGCAACCAACTACACACCACAGAAGGTATAAAAGGAATCCAACCTTATAGCTTATATCTGCTATACTTAGGGATGAACGCATTATATCTGAATGCCACTATGTTCATATTACAGATTCCCCAACCTCACTCGTGGCTTCATTTTAGCACTTAAGTCAATTCCCAATCTCATTCGGGTCATACAATAACCAAGAAAGCACATTACATATGTGAATCTGTAATATGAACATAGTGGCATTCATATAGAATGCGTTCATCCCTAGTATAGCAGATATAAGCTATAAGGTTGGATTCCTTTTATACCTTCTGTGGTGTGTAGTTGGTAGTGCCTTGACTTAGTAATTATAAGTCCTAGGTTCGAGTCCTTGTCGGGGTAAAAAAATTATTCATGTTTTCACATATGTAATGTGCTTGCTTGCTTATTGTATGACCCGAATGAGATTGGGAATTGAATTAAATGCTAAAATGAAGCCACGAGTGAGGTTGGGGAATCTGTAATATGAACATAGTGGCTTTCAGAGAGAATGCGTTCATCCCTAAGTATAGCAGATATAAGCTATAAGGTTGGATTCCTTTTATACCTTCTGTGGTGTGTAGTTGGTAGCGCCTTGACTTAGTAATTATAAGTCCTAGGTTCGAGTCCCGGTCGGGGTAAAAAAATGATTCATGTTTTCACATATGTAATGTGCTTGCTTGGGTATTGTATGACCCGAATGAGATTGGGAATTGAATTAAATGCTAAAATGAAACCACGAGTGAGGTTGGGTAATCTGTAATATGAACATAGTGGCATTCAGATAGAATGCGTTCATCCCTAAGTATAGCAGATATAAGCTATAAGGTTGGATTCCTTTTATACCTTCTGTGGTGTGTAGTTGGTAGCGCCTTGACTTAGTAATTATAAGTATTAGGTTCGAGTCCCGGTAGGGGTAAAGAAATGATTCATGTTTTCACATATGTAATGTGCTTGCTTGCATATTGTATGACCCGAATGAGATTGGGAATTGAATTAAATGCTAAAATGAAGCCACGAGTGAGGTTGGGGAATCTGTAATATGAACATAATGGCATTCAGATAGAATTCGTTCATCCCTAAGTATAGCAGATATAAGGTATAAAGTTGGATTACTTTTATACCTTCTGTGGTGTGTAGTTGGTAGCGCCTTGACTTAGTAATTATAAGTCCTAGGTTCGAGTCCCGGTCGGGGTAAAAAGAAATGATTCATGTTTTCACATATGTAATGTGCTTGCTTGGTTAATATATATATATATATATATATATATATATATATATATATATATATATATATATATATATATATATATATATATATATATATATATATATATATATATATAGTGATCCTTCGCTCTATCGCGTTTCTTGCCTCGCGAATTCACTGTACCGCGATTTTTTTGCCAATCTTTTTTGGGGGGGTATATGCAAAAATATTAAAATATAAAAAAAATACAAAATTTTTAGTATTTTAATTTTTTTATTGAAAAAAAAAATTTCATTATTCAATTGAAAACAAAATTTATTTCCCAGCCTACGAATAATAAAACAGTAAGAAATAGTGAAAAAACATAAATTTGAACATGTAACTCTGCACTATAGAAAATATGATACCGGTATCAGCGTTTCGGAAAACGCAAAGGGTCGCACCTACGTGAGCTAGCATATATTAAAATTTCCAGTAGTTTCATGATTTTCTTAATAAAAAAATTTAATTCTTAGCCTAAGAATAATAAAACAGTAAAAAATAGTAAAAAACATAAATACTAACAGTATTGCACAATGTAAAATACGATACCGGTATCAGCGTTTCGGAAAACGAAAAGGGTCGAACCTACGTGAGATAGTACATATTGAAATTTTCATTATTTTATTGATAAAACAAGTATTTCCTAGCCTAGGAGTAATAAAACAGCAAAAATTAGTAAAAAACATACATTTAGATATATGACTCACAGTATTGCATCATGTGAAATACTGTCCGATAGCGTACAATGTATTGGGGTCGCACCTACGTGAGCTAGCATATACATTAAAACTCCAGTAGTTTCATGATTTTATTGATAAAAAAAATCGTATTTCTTAGCCTAAGAATAATAAAACAGTAAAAAATAGTAAAAAACATAAATACTAACAGTATTGCACCATGTAAAATACGATACCGGTATCAGCGTTTCGGACAAAGGCTTGCACCTATGTGAGATAGTTCATGGAATGCTACTGGCTGAAAGAGTGAGAGATCTGTATCATGGGGTCTGATTGGCTTTTTAACTGAAGTTTGGTTCTCCCACCATCTTCCATTGTCTCGCCTCACTCGTTCAGTCTAACTCACGTGTGCGCCGTTCACATTGTGCTTATTAATACGTTGTGCTTGTGATTTATTTTCTTCACTTTTTCAACCACTGCAATGCCTCCCAAGCATCCTTCATCATCTAAGGCTTCTGGTAGTGAGCCTAAGCAGCAAAGGTTGATGTTAACCATAACAGATAAGGTGAAACTCTTAGATATGTCGGCCGCTATTTTGGCCTCAATGAATTACAGCCGTAAAGCTGTTATTGGCTGCGGAATAATTTCCTCTGGCGTCTACAAACTCATTAGCACCTCATTCACAGTAACTTTATCTATCACGTACATATAAATTTACGTTGCATGCTGTTATTTATAATGTAAAGGGTGGTTTTTTAACAGTGCAGGGAGGGTTTATACAGTAAACGTAAAAATAATTGTAAAATACCTATGTACATGAGTATGTCATGTAAATTTATGCTTGCATGCTGTTATTTATGAAGTAAAGGGTGGTTTGTTAACAGTACAGGGAGGGTTTATACAGTTTATATAGTGTAAATATAAAAATAAATTAAAATATCTATGTACATATAGGGTGATCCTACTCCGCGAAATTCCTGTCTCGTGCCGGGTCCCGGAACCGAACCTTTGCAATAATCGAAGGAACACTGTATATATATATATATATATATATATATATATATATATATATATATATATATATATATATATATATATATATATATGGCAAATTTTCAAAAGAGGAGATTATTCTCCTATAATAACAACACTGCATTTTTCTGATTATTTTCTTTGTGAAATAAACGATTTTGAACTCCATTTCTGGCGTAAAAAACTTGATGTACATTTTTAACACCCCCCCTTACCCCTAACAATAATAGGGGAAAGCATTAGGAATTGGGGTTTTGGGTGCAGGGAAAGCAAAAAACAGTAATATGTAACAGAAATGAAGCACAAAAAACTTTTTCTACAAAAAAAAGAAAAAGTTTCAAAGGTTGTAAATGAATTGGTTCAAGAAACTGCCCTCATAATCACTAACTTTATAACTACACCTCTGGCAATTTTTCTTCTTGGGAACCGGTAGAGAGTTAGAGAAATACCACAAATGCTTTTCCTTAGTGAATAATTCTTATGACCTTTCATTCTTCAAAACGCAGATCTATCATCATCTCAGGGCCTAGTCCTCCATATCTCTGGGTCCTCTGTACTTTGACTGTTTTTTCTGTCTGTCGTTTTCCTTTGTGTGACATTACCTCATCTCTGCCTTGTCCTTAACCTTCTTCTTTTCCTTCATCTTGATATTTTCTCGTGCCCGAGTCTTCATATATGGGGCAGTTTCCGCCTGTCCCAGTGACACACTCTTAAAAAAAAAAAAAAAAAAATAATGACACTGCGGGCAGTTCAAATATTTGTCAAGCGCCGTGCTCACAAAAAAATGTGATTGCTTGCCCGTCTTTACCATAGTATTCACCATGGAAATTAGCAATTATGGAAAAATAGCTGTAACTACAACCGGTACAAAGACAAATCAGATCAAACATGATAAAAAAAAAATTAGTAAAAAGGGAAATGAAAAAAGAACGTTTGTGATTGGCTGAAAAGGACTAATGAAAATAAAGCTTACAAATAATTGGCCCATAATGCATCTCATAAAAATAAAAGACAATAGATAAATGAATCAAGAGTCAACTTGTGCATTAGAAAAAAAAATCGCATCAGGAGTTAAAATGTGTAACAGAGTTCACAACTACGAGACTTCGTAAAAAATAAAAATGAAAATTCGTCCCTTCATTATTGAGAGGTGGCACCGGGTAGAAATGGGGTTCATTATTATCTCTTAGTGATATCTAACATTCTATATATATAAAAAA